TCCCTCCACCACATCTCTCTCCAAACCATCTTTTATCATTCGTGTCGGTTTTGTTGGTCCGGTTTGGCAGTGCCTTGTTAGTAAACTTAATCCTCACGATGATCTCTTCTTATTTTAAATCGTCGTCGTCGTCATTTTGTCACGTCTAATCGCACAGAGTGTCGGTGAAAAGATCTCGCGAGAGTGATCGCTCCGTTTGCGATCGTACGAGCTCTCGTGATTGCAATGATTTTTTCATTTCTAAAACGATCATTAAAATCAACAGCGTTGATACAGACTTTCGTCTGTGCGAGCCGATCTGCCTACTTCCCCTTTGGATCACCGTGAACTTGTTTTACATTCTTTATACGTTTATTTGCCCAAAATCAACTTATACATTCTGTCGTAGCATAGCGTCTCGATGACGAGGGAGGAGGTAACAGACGAGAAATTAGAAATTACATGTGACGCCCGTTTCACTGACACTCTGTTTAACAATAATCTACTGACAAAGAATGATTATTTACATTTCACGCGCTACACTCCATCCACGCTTGCGCACATCAAAATTAATACAAGTCTCCCTATAATACATATACATATATACTGAGTGAGCAAAAGGTCAGTACCCCTGAATAACTCTGAAAATATAAGTTTTATAGAAAAATGTTTCAAACAGAAGTTGTAATGTGTAAAGAGATCTATTAATTGACATAATTAGTTTGACTTTGGAGGGAATCACCAAGGTTAAGACAAGGTCACCTTGAATTTTTTAAATAAAATTCCCTATTTTTTATCGCGTATTTTTATGACTTATCTCGAGAGTTTTTCAAAACACTATAATAACGTATTTTTTTCACTAAGTACTTTTTGAGTAATGAAACTTGAAAGTTATAGTACCGTTGGCATTAGCATTATTCAAGATGTACCATGCGAAGGTTGCTCAGTCGGATTTACACCTCTTACGTGTATGTGCGTATGCACGTATGTGTGCGCGCGTGTGCATGGATGGATGCATGGGTGATTCTCGGTGAATATTTACAATAATAAGTTAAGGAACAGATGAAGACCGTTACATCACAACCCTCCCATACACACACACATACACGAAAGAGATGTAAATCCGACCGAGCAACCTCTGCGCGGTACACCTTCGGTAATGCTAATGCCAGCGGTACTGTAACTTTCAAGTTTCATTACTAAAAAAATATTTATGAAAAAATACCTTATTAGTGCTTTGGAAAGTTCTCGAGATAAGCTACAAAAATATACAATAAAAAATAGGGGGTTCCATTTAGAAAATTCAAGGTAACCTCGTCCTGATCTTGGCGACCCCACCCGAAGTCAAAATAATAATATCAATTAATAGGTCTCTTTACACTCTACAACTTTTGTTTGAAATATTTTTCTATAAAACTTATATTTTTTTAATTATTCAGAAGTACCGACCTTTTGTCCCTACCTTGTATACATATATATGCATATATGTATATATATATATATATATATATATATATATATATATATATAT